TACTGGTGAGATTCCCGCTGTGACGGCGTCTCACCCGCGCGGTCCCTCAGGAATGGCTTGTGCTCTCCTGCAGGCGTCCAACACTGTCGTTCCTGGATCCAGGAAAATCTCGTGGAACGGAGCCTCTCGGAAAAGCTCCTGGAGTTCAGTGTCACTCATCTGCTCCAGAGCCTCAATATTACTGTGGTACAGAGCATTGGTGCACCTGTGTGACAGATGGATGGAAAGACAGATCTATCTTTAATTAGAATTTATTATTATGCATCTAGATTTAATGGTATATACAGTGCATCCGGAAAGTATTCACAGCGCTTCACTTTTTCCACATTTTGTTATGTTACAGCCTTTTTCCAAAATGGATTAAATTCATTATTTTTCTCAAAATTCTACAAACAATACCCCAGGAAAATTATCAACCATAAATATTTTTTTAACCGGCCACGAAACTGTGTGTGCATTATTTCATTTAAAAAAAACAACAACAAAAACAGGCAGAACAAATCTGGGAAAAATCTAATTGCAATTATTGTTATTCACAGCGCTTCACTTTTCCATATTTTGATATGTTACAGCGTTTTTCCAAAATGGATTAAATTCATTATTTTTCTCAAAATTCTACAAACAATACCCCATAATGACAATGTGAAAGAAGTTTGTTTGAAATCTTTGCAAATTTATTAAAAACAATAATAACACTGTGTGTGTGTATGGCTTTTAACATAATATTAATATAAGATTTAATTTGATTTATTATTTGTAATTTTATTATTATTATTATTATTATTAAATCAAATAATACAATTTAAGTCAATAAAGGAAATAATACTTCAATCATACTATTGAACTTTAAAATATTTAATAATAATAATTTTAATTTATATAATAATAATCATACTTAAATATTTAAATAGTACTTATATAAAATAATAATACTAGAATAATAATAAGAATTATTAATATTATTATTGTTGTTGTTGATATTATTATTACTATAAAAAAACAACATTTTGCCAATGGCCAGTGACAAATATTTTTTTAACCGGCCACGAAACTGTATGTGCATTATTTCATTTTAAAAAAACAACAACAAAAACAGGCAGAACAAATTTGGGAAAAATCTAATTGCAATTATTGTTGTTATTATTAATATTTTTTATGATTATTATTATTATTTAATCAAATAATAAAAATGAAATCAATAAAGGAAATATCACAACACTATTAAACTGTAAAGCATTTTATAAAGTATTTTATTTGATAATTGAACCAAACCTTATGGCATTGTTACAATTAATAGAAAAGTTGCTAGAATTTTATATACTCGCCAACACTGATTTTTACTCACAACTTGCGCTTGGTGAGTGTTCATTTTATGCTCTGTATACATATCAGTAAATAAGAATGGCAGAAAATCCCCAAATGCATATGTGCAAAGCTTGGCGCATCATACCCAAAAACACTTGAGACTGTAATCCCTGCCAAAGGTGCTTTAAGAAAGTTAAGTACTGGGTTATGGGTATGAATACTAGGCTCAATTTTGATCTCATACTGCTGACTTTACAGTAGGGCTGGGTATCGATTCAGATGTCCCGATTCGATTCGATTTCGATTCGCAAGCTCTCGATTCGATTCTCGATTTTTTTTTTTATTACATTCAGTGAATATAGTTTTAATACAAATGCTATTGATATTTCGAAATAAATCCCGGAAAAGATCGATTCGCGGCTTTTGAGAATCGATATCGAATCGATGTCATTTAAAAAAACGATAAATCGAAAAATCGATTTATTTTGCTCAGCCCTACTTTACAGGCGTAAATCAGAAACGGAGTATCTTGCCTTTTGGCGCTTTCTAAGCCCTCTTTCCCGTGGACCAGCTTGGTGACTTCAGCGGCCAGGCGTTTGTGGGCGATGCGTTTGCCCGGATCCTGCTTCTGCTGCTCCATCACCTTCTCCACCTCAGCCAGAGACAGGAAGGTGAAGAGCTTCAGGTACCTGGAGGGAGAAAAGGGCTTCTGAACAGGCTAAATAGGCATTATTTTGAATAATAATTATTTTTAACCACAAAGTTTGGGATTAAGCAGATTAACTTTTATTCAGCAAGGATGTATTAAATTCATCAAAAGTGACAATACATACATTTATAATGTTATAAAAGATTTCCATTTCAAATAAATGCTGTTTTTTTTGTTTCTATTCAGAAAAGAAAAGAAAATCCTGGAAACAATGTATCGTGGTTTCCACAAAAATATGAAGCAGCACAACTATTTCCAACATTGATAATAATCGGAAATGTTTCTTGAGCAGCAAATCAGCATATTAGACTGATTTCTGAAGATCATGTGACACTGAAGACTGGAGTAATGATTAGGGATGTCACGATTTTGATTTCATGATTCAATTCACAAATTTTTTTTCCCAAAATGAGATTTAAGACAAATTATAAATTAAATGTGTCCTTTTATTATTGCTTGGACAAAATACTCTTTACTATACATTCACATAGAAAACAGTTACTTTGAATTGTAATAATATTTCACAATTTTTACAGTATTTTTTAACACCCATGTTGAGTATGACGTCACGCTCTGAGGTTGGTAAGTTAACTCACCCCTCTACGCTGTTATCTGGCAAGCGGAGGAAGTACTGGTAGAAGTCGAAGGGCGATGTTTTATCTCTGTTCAGCCACACAGCGTTTCCGGCCGTCTTCCCCAGTTTATCGCCCATCGAGGTGGTGACGAGTGGAACCGTGAGTCCATACACTTCCTCTCCCGTCTTTCTGCACAAGAGCCGTTACTGTTAACAACAACTTCCAAAATCCCATTCATTAACTGAAATAAAACTGAAATATAAATATTAGGTGGAAAAACGTGAACATTAAAAAAACTTAAATTAAAAATGTTGGTTTGGCAACTATTAAAAAATAAAAAGTTTAAGTTTAAATATTAAAATGACAAACTAAAACTGAAAGAAAAATAAGGCTAAACAGAAATATTTAAAACAAAAACTAATAAAATGGCAAAAGCACATAAAAGTACAAAAACCTAAACTAAATTTAAAATTCATTAAAAAAAAATCTAAATATGAATAAATACTAGTTATCTTTGTATTATTATAATAACAGTGGCACAAGAGCACACTCCTATATAGACACACACACACATATGAAGCTATAATACACTCATGATATTAGAGATTCTGAAATATTGTTTGCACAAATACAAATAATTTATTTTTAATGCCGCACTGACTTACCTTCATAAAATATAGTTAAATGATAATTACTATAAATCCCAAACGTGCCACTAAACTCCTTTATTAGCATTTTAAGTTTAATGATTTAGTGCCAATACTGGAATCATATCATATCAGGTCTTATTTGAACTATTTTCATTTTTGTACTGTATATACACCCAGTCCTTCGTGGTGTTTTCATGGTACATGTCTGAAAATATGCCAATTAATGTATATACACTACTGCTCAAACGTTTGGGATCAGTGCGATTTTTTATGTTTTTTTAAGTAGTCTCTATTGCTCAGCAAGGCTGCGTTTATTTGATCAAAAATACAGTATAAATGTGAAATATTATTAAGATAAAAAAAAAAAATCTCTTTGAATTATGTTAAAATGTCATTTATTTCTGTGATCAAAGCTGAATTTTCAGCATCATTACTCCAGTCTTCAGTGTCACATGATCTTCAGAAATCATTCTAATATGCGGATTTGCTCAAGAAACATTTCTGATTATTATCAATGTTGAAAACAGTTTAGCAGCCAAAAATTTGTGTGGAAACCATGATACATTTTTCAGAATTTGATGAACAATATTTTATATTTTTAATATAATAATATATTTAATATTCATTTAATATTTTAACACAGACATATTTAACACACACACACATATATATAGATTACTTACAAATTGTAATCTGTTGCTGATTCCAAATTACATGACAAAAACTGTAGTTAGTAACGTAATCCATTACATTACACATTTCAGGTGATATAATCGGACTATTTGTTGATTACTTTTGACCTAACTTGTTTATCACATTTAAACATAGGAATAAGGGAGCTCTATTTGAACAAGCACTGTGAGCGAAGCGCCAGCAGCGAACGCTCTCTGTGATCGATTGGTTCTGTCTTTCAGCGTTTGCGTGTGTTCCGATGAGCAGGAGAAATAGTTCTAACCTACACAATTATTCACCAGCACAGTCTATTTTCCCACATTTAGAAGCTTATTTTATGCACCGAATATCTTGCAAAATAAATACAATTACTGGTTAAAAATGCACTTTAGATTAGAAATTTAGAATCGATATTTTTATGCCAGGATCGATCCTTTCGATACAACTTCAGGATCGATCCCTAGAGGTGTTTATAAAGTAAGAACGCCACGGTGCAACCTGTGAACGAGCTCGTGTCCGCTCATGATGTTCCCCAGCTGATCGGCTCCGCCCAGCTGGAGCCTGCAGCCGTGCAGCTGATGCAGACGGTAGAAATCAAACGCCTGGAAGATCTGGTAGGAGAACTCGGTGAAGCTCATGCCCTCCGCGCCCTTGAGCCGAGACTGAACGCTGTGGCGGCTGAGCATCGTTCCCATCCGAAAACTCCTGCCGACCTCCGAGAGGAACTCCAGCACGCTCCAGTCCTTGTACCAGCTGCGGTTGTTGAGCACCGTGAGCCGGCCTAGCCTACTCGAGTCCGGGCAGAAGTACAGCTCGTGGTGGGTGAAGATCCGGTGGAGGCTCTCCAGAATCCCGCGGGAGTTCTGCTCCACCGCAGCCGGCGAGAGGCGCTCTCTCTCGGCTGACCTCCCGCTCGGATCCCCGATCTGCGCCGTGGCTCCGCCGAGCAGCGCGATGATGTCGTGCCCCGCGGCTCTGAAGTGCAGCAGGCCGACGACGGCGAGCAGGTTCCCGGCGTGCAGGCTGTCCGCGGTCGGGTCGAAGCCGCAGTAGACGGTCTGCGGACCGGACTGGAGCAGATCCGGAAGTTCCGCTTGCGCCGCGTGCTCAGGGAACGACTCCTTCAGGAGGCCTCGGTTATGCAGGGATAAGAGCAGCCCGCTTCTGCTAGATGGAGAACAATGGAAGGAAGTTTTTAGGTAAGATGTTTTTCTTAATATGACTCGTGAATGAACTCGACAGCATGACCGCGCTATGGACGCAGCCATGTTTGAACGGCAGTTTTGATTGACGCTTTCGCCAGCTAGTGGACAGATGTGGGAGTGTAGAAATAAAAATGAGTAGAATGGCAGTTTTTTACATATTGTAACGATACTATTAGAAAAGGACACGCGTGCGAAATGCACTGAAAAAGCTGAATTCAAAAACAAAATATATACAGTGGTGGCCAAAATTATTAGAACACTATATTTTCACCAGCTAAAAAATGGGTTTAACGCATAGACTGTATAAAAACATGTTTAAAGGCACAATATGTAAGTTTTCGCCGCTGGAGTGCGCGTATTCAAACCTAACAAAGAAACAAAGGCATAGTTTGATGACGCTGCGGCTGAGTGTGGAATCATGGGAGTTGTAGTCTTCATCCCCACAGCCGATGCAATCCGATGGGACTCTAGCAGAAATCATGTTTATGGATGAGGTAATGTATTAAATATTTATTAAAGTAGTAGTATGAAGCAGGGTGAGGCTGAAAGCCGTCGAAGCGAAACGAGGCCGCTGAACGAGCGTGACAGACGGCTCGACAGCAGCCGAGCTTTTGTTATGCCACAGTCGACCGCTTCCGCTGCTTCCGGTCGTGCGTATGTGGGGTAAAGCAGCGCTGTTTTATCATACTAGATACGTTTGAAAGTTCTGTTATAATGCTACTCTGTGCTGTCGTCACCGGTCTAATAAAACGCACAACATATTAAAGCGTCTTTGGTGTTTCCATGTTTTCTACAAAACAAAACCGAAATCGAGGGTGTATGACATCATTGGCAGGCG